GCCGCGAAAACATAAATGCCTTATGATTTAGTATTGGATACATCATGTCAATTATTTCTCAAAGCCAACACTATATTAATGCTAAAGAAGCTTCTCAGCAACGATTATGTAGGCAGAATTAATCCTTTACTGCTACACTTTAGTATTAACAACGTTCATGTATTAAACATTACAAAATTTATTGTTGATACGGGAATTCATAATAGATTACTTTTCACATTTACCTGCTATCGTTTTCATGTTTCCATCATACTATACATGGGATCAAAATTTTATATTGTGAAGAAGTACTATATTTGCTGGCTATTATTGAGGAATTGTTTTAGGCTGACGGAGAGACTGGTTTGTAATTGATACGTAGAAGTGATATTTGCTGAACATGGCACCTTTCAATAGAGAATTTTCAACTTGAGGACGTCTTTATCTTAAACAATATAGTTTGGAAATATTATATTTGTACATCTATCGGAAACCCACCTTTTATTATACAATATAATAGCAGGCGAATCTTTACACAGAACAGTATCGGCCGTTTTGACACCTCAACAAATAATTGTTCAATAGCGTCAACACGCTAACAATACAAATCACTTATCAGCGCAACACTCAAAGTTAAAACTTATTTACATTAAGGCTTGAGCTTAATCACGAACGACGGTCCTTTTATATATAATTTCTCGTAGTTGAACAATTGACTAAAATATAATTATATAAACGATAGAACTCTAGCTAATTGAATATTTGTTAAGCACATTGCAAATCTCGCAATAGGCAGAAATATTACGATTACGACTTTGCGTCCAAGTATTTTCTTTAATGACTGGAATTTTTTCTTTTTCAAAAAAGTTAGTGTCTGTAGCTCGTAAACAAATACAACAAATAGACATTACCCAAATAGTAAATTTTTTTCGCGGTTTGATAATTTACTTGCACATATTTTAATTACTTATTGGCTCGCACGGAAAGTTTTACAATTATTCAATTAAATATAGACGCAGCCGGTTACTCAATAAATTATATCAACATTGATTCAATGTTAGAGAATTGACGTTATGCCATTACTACCATTAAAAAGACTCGAGATGATAATAAAAACAATATTTGTATATTTGGCTGGCTTATCGATGTTGACTGTGTACTATCATTAAAGTAATGAGATCAACAAATTAAATTTTGGAAACCAATAATTAGACAGCTGCTGAACAGTTTGGGCAGAGAAATGTTGGATAGAATCTGGCTCTCTATACATACCAAGAATTACTTTTACCGTAAACTCGATAAGTCGAACAAAATCTCTCTGCCATTTTCTTTAAAATTCTCTCGATAAGTCGGACAGCCATTCCCAGCCAGTCGTGTCCGACTTATCGAGTTTACCCATGTACCCATACGCGTAAAATTTCAGTGCTTATTTCGTGGGTTAAATAAAGTTTATAATACAAATATTAATTTAATTAAATATGTAAAGCATCTTGTAAAGCAGAATTCTTTGTTCTTAATATGCATCTACCTTAAACAAAAATATTTGTCTGGCACGAGATTTGAACTCGTATCTCCAAGGATCTTTAGTTACGGGTTTCCAAAATTCGTTCACCTCAACACTATAGGATTGAACTGACGGTCTCGTACGTAAAGATCGCCTGGCGCTTTAGCCACTTAAGCTAGCCAGACTTTTACGTCAGCAAGTTAAGTTTTGAGAAATTGAAAATACATTTGGTCAGAGCTGACGTACAAATTAACGTTATAGAACCAGCTAAACGACAGCGGCATTACGTAATGGCATATTATCTATCTGAGAAACGTAGTTTTAGACAATTGGTAAAAAAAAGTCGGAAAAGAATTAAAAATAAATAAAATTAACAAATACGGTACATATACGTATAAATTTTCGACTAAATGTTTGCTAAGAAGATGTCTGCTAACGGGTTATATATGCAAGGATATGCGTAATAATTTTAACAATAAAAATAATAAAACGTTTGATAAAGTTTGCTATCGAGTTTCCTATTTAAAACTGTCGAAGAAAAAGTGAGGTGAATGGCCGGCTAGAACCATAATGGTGCGTAAGTACTTACTAAGTTATTGACTCAATAAGTTCTGACTGAACCACTGGGATACAACCAGTTTCCTAGCCAGGTTAAAAAACGGTTCCACGTGGATTTTGAAAAATTCTATGCACATATTATTATTGTTTGTCGTAAATTCGAAACGACAAAGACGAACTTCGCTGATTTGTGGTTGATCCTATATTTGGTTAATTATCTTGTCCCTTAAAATTAGTTAAAAAAAAAAATAACAATCATACCTAGCAGTTAATGCTTCATCAATTGCCTCATCGATAATGTTTGCAAGCGCTTAACTACCCGTGCCCGATCCAAATCCGCGCCCGTCTACCAGTCGAGACAAAAGAAAGCAGTGAACGATTATTTATCCACCGATTTACCTATGTCTATCGCCATTTCTCTTAAAGCCAACCCCTTCTTTACTTCCTCTACAATGAGTATAGAACGAGATTATAGTGACGGGAAATTTTTCGAAATCGAGGCGGTGAGTCGTGGTAGTGTATATTAATATGGTGCGAGGACCCTGCAGATCACCCAATAAAATTCTTTGAATCAGCATTATCCGGCATGGTCGCACAATACGACACATCGTACAATCCATAATATTTCTATTTATGGAGGAGAAGCCATCTGAAGGTATAATATTTGAGCCTGCACGTTATGCGACACGGCAGGTAAATTCCCGATTATGAACTCAGCTTTATTTTGAAAATTGCAACACTTTGTCCACGATACTTCAAATTCCGGGTCAAAATTGTCCCTGTGTAAGAGCGGGAATTAATGTTGCAGATTGAACAGCACATACACAGTCAGTCTCAATAAGTCGGCCAACAGTATCCCGCCTCAAATGGCCGACTTATCGAAAACCACGTGATCGAAGATATACAGTCAAACCTCGGAAACCCGATACCGCTAAAAACCGATACCTCGCAAAACCGATACTTTTTTCAATTCCCGTGCAATTTATATATGATAAACCCCTCGTAAAACCGATGTTACATATTAATATATAGTAATAGACCTCGCAAACCCGATAATGTAATAGTAATACAAATTACGTAACCTGATCCTTGCAATTTCATTGGTCAACCAATGATCACGTTATCAATTCTACATATAAAGATTTCGCATTAGCCAATAAGAAGCAAAAACCTCGCAAAACCGATAGAAAATGGTGAGGACAGCCACATCGGTTTTCCGAGGGTTGGCTGTACATTTAATTCTGTAATTAAACCGTTTATTAATAATACACTAAAATAATCTTGCATATTAGCTTGTCTTAGAGAATCGACTTGTTTTCTTCTTATCTGACGATGTCAACGAAGACAGAGGGATATCAATTACCTTTATTTATATAGCAAATAGTGCATGTCTATCGTATTATTATAGCAATATGTTTACTGCTTTAATCGTATGATCTAATGACATGTCTAGTGTATGTCATCGTTTCTAACGATATGTTTACTGCTTTAATCATATGATCTAATGACATGGCTAGTGCTTTAATCGCATGATCTAAATGCATGTTTAGCTTTTGGTGTCTTTTGTTATAACATTGCCAATTATAAGCATTTGTGTAGCCAATAGGTAAGTATTGTATTGGACAATTAATCATGGTCCACCAATTAAATTGAAGAAACTTATAAATTGACACGTGAAAACCGACTTATCCAACTAATAACACTAATATAAAATACTTGTGTAAAGATAGGATAGATGCATTTGATCGATTTCAGGAATATCAATATGGAACTGAGATTCCTACTTCAGAATCGTGGAGAAATGTGACAGAAGATGTAATATATAGGTGCTGGGAGAGAACTGATATTCTGCCTGACGAGTCGGAAGTCATTAACTACGAACCACCAGATAATGACATTGAGATATAAGATGAAATCGTACAATCCAAATGGTCGTTGATTATTACGTCATGAGAGCAAGATGACGACAAAAATGAGGTTTTTACGGTATCTAACAAAGTGGCTTTAGAAAGCACTCAAAATTTATATAACTATTTGCAGCAGAATAACGATATAAAAGTAAACAGTTTATTGGTTTCAGGGTTAAGAGACTTAAAATGGGAAATTGTGAAGAAGCGAACGGATTCTTCGATACAAACGAGCATGGATCTTTATTTAGAATAATGGTTTTTCTATCTAACGATTCGCTTAATAAAAATAAATTTTTACTAAATTAGTCACGTGGATTCGATAAGTCGGTTTCTCTCGATAAGTCGGTCTACCAGGCCAGCCAGCCATCCGGGACCGACTTATCGAGTCTGCCTATGTATTCCGCTAACTTACCTTGTAACTCCGTGGTAAAACAATAAAGAATGTTACCAATAATAACACTAGAACAATAAATGCGCTTTATTGGATAACGGAATGGTACACAAAAGTTGCACAAACAGGCATCCTAAAACTCGAAACTTTTCTAGTTGATTAAAAATTTTAAACCGTAACTTTTATTTTGCTCTATCATTCTTACGGATTAGTTTTCTCTAAACCCTCTAATATAAAAGCCTTAGGGTTTTGAAAGTTGGGTTATTTTATTTCGCGCTATAGATGTCCTACACCATATTAATGTTAAAAATCGTCCATAAAGGGTCAAGCAGTCCTGGAAAAGAAATTAAGCATTACACGTGGATCGTTTCGTTCTTATTAATGTTAAAATAATATTAATATGAAAAACGTCCCGTCGATCATTAACAGAAAAGTCACCAAAAACATTATCGTTATGAAAATGTCTAAATAAAGCGGTTGATATACAGAAATGGACAAACATGTTACACTAAGATGCACACTTTCAGCTGATGATATTGTTTTAATGTTAAAAAATCTAGAAAGTTCCCAATTATACGTCATTGATTAAGCCTTGGACGAAAACAATTTTTTTACCGTTGTGATCTCTTGCGCTTCACGTTCAGCTCTGCGTTTAAATATGGACGACAATACACCCATTGCCAATTTCTTGAACAGCTTTGTTGACGAGGGGAAAACGAGACAGGATCAGGCGACGGCGGTTACCAAGATATTCATTGATCAGTGGATTACTACTCTTGGCGACTGTAAGAAATTCACTGTCGAGGACTTGAAAGAATGGAAAGTACCTGCAATGGTCGTGAAGGGATTAGACGAACAAGGGTTTTTAAAGCCCTCCACAGGTATTATGGAGCGACTAAACGCTTTTCTTGCTTTGTTTGCATTCATTGGGGGGTCTGATATCAGTAGTTTTACATAGAGCAAATCCCCAATAAAATTTACATAAGAGTAGATGTGGTGATGTGGGTTGTAATATAGTTTTATTGCGAGAGTGTTATTGTAGCTGGAGTAGATAGGCAAAATTATTCGAAGGCATACGCGTGTATAGGGATACCCATCTCTTTTGCACTTTGTGACTCGGGCGTCGGGGACATAGAGTAGTGTGTACGTAGGGTAGAGTAGAGTACTTGTATTCTATTTTGTCTCTTATATTTCATCAGGACGTAGAATAGAGCGCAGTAGATAGGGTATAGGAGACTTAGTAGTATGGGGTTCTCTCTTATGAATTATTGGGGTTGACTTTCATTTGTAATGCTCATATTGTGTATTCCACATTATCTCTTATCTATTCATCTCTATTCATCTTCTACTGTCTCTTCTTTATTCCCCATCCAACCATCCATCATCCCATCTGTGTCTTGCTTGCAAACAACCATTAGTAGCTGCTCAAGGTAGGTAATGACTTTGTGAGTGGGACAGCTAAGCTAAGTGCATGAAGGCAGTGTCACGGCCAATAATGTTACTGGGTTGTCATACCTTCTCTCTCCCGTTTATCGCAACCCTTTCATCACTTATCAATATCATTTCAATTGCTTAACCGCGCACCTATTTCTAAAGTATGCTCCTTGTTAGTATCTGTTGATGCATAACTTTAATTTTTACATCTTTACCATCCATGTCGCACCATGTCCCTATCGTTTATCCACCGGCATTGTTCTTTTATGCATCTATCCACTTGAATCAACATTTGGTATCCCGTGCGGCGTTGACTAACGCCTCCTTTATCCAACATTCCTCGACGTTTCCTTTATACATAGGGTAGAGTGGACATAGAAGTACATAGTAATGTGATTGTTGAGAAGACCTATTATAGCTAGAGTTGACTCTTTACTTATAGCATGTATGTGGGGGAGAGGGAAGGGAATGATGGTAAACTGCTGCCTTTACATGATGTAACCACCTCAACTACGTTTATTAACGTGATAGATGGAGAGTGCATCAAGGTTTTAATATGCTGCCCTTCATAGCTGCAAATGAGGGTTTGGTTTGACGAATTTACATCTTGTTCTCTTCCCTTTTGTAAAATTAGAATGTTACTCTGCATTCATTACTAATACATGTATATTCAATCTGGCTCGTATTTCCAGAAAAGGCGATAAACGGTAAGCACGAGATTTGCTACTTATAGTTTACTTCATCTTCACTTTCTTTATTCTGATATCTCTATTATATTTACTATCTTAGATATTTCTGCTGAAATAGTAAAAAAATTAGTTCAAACTCCCAACCGACTTCCCAACAAGTCTGACTTACCAAATTTCCTTAATGAAAATCCTCCAATAAGAATACCACTTGCCCCTGTTCATTTTTCACAATTTAATACTAGTTTGGGTGGCATAACTGAAGAAGAACGAGACACATACTTTATATTAAGTATGGAGGCAGAATGTACATCACTTTACTCAAGACTTTTAGGACAGTTAATTTATCCTCCTTCATATGGAAATACTGAAGACTCATATCATTGTTTGTGGGACAGCATTATTAAAAATACAATAGAGACATTTGGAATGCATAGTTTTAGTATGTCAGTATTGGAATTTGATTGTAATACTAGCAAACGGACTTCAACAGGTAAGTTAATGGTAGAGATTGAACAGTTACAGTATGATATACAGTAGATGTTAACAAAAAAATTTCATAGGCAGCAATTGTCCAGACATGGTTGTCTTAGTGAGAAATGTTTGTCCCCTACGAGGTGAAGAAAAGTCCCAAGAAGATGCAGGAGACCCATCACGAGAATTAGTTGATAAATTCAAGGACTGGACCTATGGAGATACTCCATACATTTTTGCATACTATGCTATTGGTGTGCTAGTCACATTTGTTACATTGCATAAGGCAGAAAATATGTTGAACAAGAAAAGAAAATCGAGTGTTTATTCTGAACGGATAGCAGAATTTAATTTAAGCCATTTGTCAGATAGAATTCGCATTATGAATTTTCTTCGGAATATTTGTAAGTGCTTTTATGAGCTTTAAATTGTTATTGCAGAATACTAATTCAGTCAATGGTTATTTATATTTAGGTCGGATATTACCTATTATAGTGAATTTGTGCCCACCAAGAGATTTGCCAGAATTTCAGACCATAACCCGATCAAATGGAACTGTTATTGAGCTTGGATATGCAGTTAAGAAAAGATTTGCAGATGAAAAGCGAGTTATTCAC